TAATTCCCCACCATTCCTATGTCAGCCTATGTTCTAGGTCAGAGACATCATGACCCAATGGCTCTCCTAGGCTGTGGTTCTTAGAAATCAATGTCTCGATGTCAAGATTCTGTGATTCTAGAAACAGAAGGACGCTATAGCTGAGAAAGGGCATGAAGTCCTGAGAGGAGACTAAGGAAGCCGGGTAAAGGAAGGGCCCTCCCAGACTTATGCAGACACCTACCTGCCTCTCCCAGCCCACAGCCCCAAGCTCCACGCATGAATCAACGAAATGACATTGGTACCAAGTTGGGAACCAGAAAACTAGAATGTAGGCTCTGTGTCATCACTCTTCTGGGATGACCCCAAGCACAGCTTCTTTTTTTTTTTTAAATTATGTACATGGGTGCATATGAGTGCAGATATCCATGGAGGTCAAAAGAGGGCACTGGATACCCTGGCACTGCAGTTACAGGCAGTTCTGAGCTGCTCAATGTGGATGTTCATAATCAAACTCAGATCCTCTACAACAGCAGCACATGCTCTTAACCACCGAGCCATCTTTTCCAAGGGCAGTTTTTTCATTTGTGTTTTTTTGCTGTGCTGGGAATCAAACCCAGAGCCTGGTGTATGCTAAGCAAGTGTTCTATCACCGAGCCACTCAAATACAGCTCTTAACCTGCCAGTACTCTCTTACAGCCAACAGTTATCAACTCCAGTTTTCTGAGTGATGAGAAACAGTGGCAAAGCCAGAAGAACCGAACTCACTCATTTCCATTCTCAGGAGCCTGGACTCTGATGCAGATGAGAAAGAGGGACTTCCTCCCACCTCTAACTTCATCCACAGCTGCTGAGACCCTCCCTGAGTTTCAAGGGAACCAAGATTCTACTGGGCGATTGTTCTTGGTCTCTACTTTTATTTACCAAAGAAAGGAGAAAGGGCAGGGGAGGGGAGGGAAAGGAAAGGACTCATCTCTGCTCCTTACTTCTTACCCATTCCTGCCCTTGACTCAACAGTGTATACACTAGAGTCTGGGCCAATCCCTCGCTAGCCTTGGGTTTCTGTTGCTCTGCCCTTTGGCTTCTCCTGGAAGAGCAATGGAAAAGCTTGCTGACTCTACAAGAGAAAGTCTATAGCAACACAGCAAACCAGACATTTCAGTGCTATCGATGGACCAGTAGTTGCAAGCCATTGGCCAAACAACCTGGTAGCACAGATGAAGAACTAGAAACCCAGGAAAGGACCATGGTCTGCTCAGTCACTCAGGCAGCTAGCAGAGAGCCAGGAACCAAAGCTGCTGGGCTGCCTTCCCTTTGCTAAACTTGAGTTTCCAAATTGGAATAGAATCTCAAAGCTAGCTCAGGACACCATCAAATTCAGTACAGGTAGTAAAGGAATTATCTTTTCAGTGACCTGCGAGCCTAGGGGTGAGAGCACTTACACTTCTCGAGGATTCAACTCACTCATTTATATTAGCCTTTCCCCAGAGGCCAGGCCACAGAGTGGAGGAGGGTATTAAATATCAGAGTTATTTAAAATCCAGTTGCCTGCCCCTCCCAAGCAGAGTGTGGCCTCTGCTGACTCAACGAAGAAAATGAATCTGGAGCCTATGGATTTTCCTGTGTCTCAAGGCAGTGAAGGAGGAGGGAGGCTGTGATTAGTGAGCCTCAGTGCGGCCTGCGGTGCAGTTCCCCCTTCCCAACCAGGCCAGCACAGATGCTTTACAAGAGGAGAGGCACAGGCTGGGCCTCCCCACCATCAGCACTTGGTCAGGCCAGGCTGCTGGGCTGTGCCTCCATTTGCCTCAGAGAAAGATGGTCAGAGAGAGTGGGAGGAGAGAGTCACACCTAGAAGGGACACATAGCTTATCATTACCATCACTGTCTGGCTAAGCAAACCAAGGCCTTAACTGCCATGGAGTCAAGTTCAAGGTCACATATGAAGGTGGTGGCACCAGTTTGGGTAAGTTATATTATTACTCTCCTCTCCCTGACCTTCAGCCCTAAAAAATTAGACTAAAAGATCCTTTGTTTATATACTTTTTCTTTTCATTTTTTCTCAGATAGAGAAACTGAAGTCTGGAAACACAAAAACTTGCCCAAGAATTTTAGTGATCTTCAGATATCTCTGATGGCACAGAGACTCAATGGAGCCTGCTAGGAAAGAGGGTCCCTGTTGGGTGACCTCAGGGAGTTACCAAGCCTCTGAGCTTCCTACCAAGGTACAGCAGAGTTTATAGAAAGCAGGATCTTTTCAAGGAGAAAACAGGCCCAAGTGAGGGAGCTTAAAGGGCAGCAGGGGACCTGCCTTGCAAGATGCAGAGAGGGGACCTGGTGTCTAGTGGGATAAGAAACTAAGAACTGAAGCCTAGTGCTGCTGACCAGGGGAGTTCTGGTCCAGGTATAAGGATAGCCAGGTACTCTGCTTGGGTACCATGCTGCCTGCCCTGCTTAGTCCTGAAGAAAGTTGTAGAGGTTCAGCTCACAGCCAACAGGCTCCCAGTCACCCTCCAGAGAGGGAACCTGAGGCACGGAAGACCACTATGGCAAAGGAGCTACAGAAACCTGAGCTCCTGGGGGGTTCTGGTCCCAGGCAGCTGTGCAACCTGGGAAGAAGGACTTCCTTTAAGTGAAGGTGTCCTGGTACAGTGTAGATGAGGAATCCTCGCCTAGCTGGCCTCAAGCCAGAGTTATTCTGTGCAGGTTCAGTTTCTGGTACCTTTTCTGTGTAGAAACCTCAACTGTGTCCTGACAACATAGGAATCAGACCAGTATGATCCCCACCACCAACAGTTAAAGGACCCAGAAGAGTTCTAGCACTTTGAGCACTAAAGAAAGTTCCAGAGGGAGACTAGAGAAGCATAGCTGAGGAAGACCATCTCAAGTGGGGCAAACAGTCCAAGAAAAGGTAGTTCCATTGACTGCATCAGAGAACAGACACAGCCTTAGACTCAAATGCACATACATTTATTGAACACCTACTGCATACCACACAGAGACAACTCCCTAAAGGAAAGAGCTGTTCTTCCAGAGGACAGAGTGGTTTTCCCATTCATACAACATAGAGCATGTGAGTCCTCGTCCCTAAAGATTAAAGGTTCTTCCTGGGCTTCTATTTCCTAGCACCCATCAATGAAGGCTGCCTGCTGCCCTGTAGCCCCTTTGGGAGAGATGGCCAGCAGCAAAAAGAAGCCAGCCACCATGAAAACCTGAAAGGGAGCTCTGGCAAGCCGTGGTCTTCAGTTCCTCAGTGGCTGGAGGCAGAAGGTCTCCATGGAGTGGACCAGAGATGTGACCAAGGGCACAGTGCAGGGTAGGTGTTGGCTCAGTCTGCATGCATGCACTTGCACATGAGTCTGCAAGCTGCACTTCAGAGATGGCAGCAGTAACCTGGACTGGCTCAGCATGTACACATTCAAGCACATGTGTGTGAATGAGCCTGCAAGTATCTGTGTAAGGCCCATCTATGCAAGCCAGAGCTATGTACAAGCTTGTGCAAGCCTTCCATGCACATGTATGTACAACCAATTAAGCATGAATCTGTATGAGATCACATATGGACACATGTAGGTGTGCTTCTGTAAAGCTTGTCTTTATATGTATTCCTAAATTCATGTGGGCATTTGTACAGACATGTTCAACTCTGAATGTGAAAGTTACTGTATCATCTATGGCACTTGGGAGAGAGGACTGGGTCAACACGAGCTGGGGGACCTCCCACATCACAGGCCAGGCCACTGCAGGGTCTGCCTCTTTGGTTTCCCTCTGTTGGCTGGGTCTGTTAAATATAACCTCAGGGAAGAAGTCAAGCAACAACCATTCCCAATTCAGGAGAAAGGGGCTGATTCTTGTGGGGGTAGGAGGGGAACCTCTATCCTAACCAGCTCTGCAGAGTGAGATACTCGAATGGCCAGCAGATCAAATGACAGCTTCTCCAACCTGAATAATTCATGCCAAGGCCAGGAATGCTCCCTTCTCAGGAGTCTGTCTCTTTAAATCAGGTCTGGAGCTTCCCAGTTCTGCAAAAAATAAATAAATAAATAATAAATAAATAAATAAATAAATAAAATTCAGAAGAAAACAAACCTACAAACAGCTCAGCCCCCACCTCAGCCCTGCACCTACCACAACCCCACTCATTACTGCAAAAGCAGTTTCTGGATTTCCTGCTCCTAGAGCCCCACCCCCAGCCTTCCACCCATTCAACACTGACAGGTAGGGAAGACTGGAAGGGACGAGGCAGGCTGAGCACTGTGTCCTAGGGTGCCCAGGTTCTGGGGCAGGGAGGGAAAGCAAAGAGCCGAATCACTCCATCCACTAGCCCCTGGGCTTAGGACAGTGCTTAGAAGGCTTCAGTGTGCTGGATGGAACCCACGGTGAGATCCTGGCAGAGGGCCCAAGTTGGGGGACACTAGGACAGGAAGTATGTGAAGTCGGAGGGGGTGCTGCAGAGTTCCCTGGGGCGTGAGCCGGATTTGAGAAAAGGCTGATCGCACAGGACCTGCAGAGATGAGGAATCAGTCGCGCCTAAGGGAATTGGGGTCGCTGAGGAGGTAGGCAAGGCTGGGGATTTTCCAGGCTTTCATCACCCTTCGCACAGAACCCTGGAAGAGTAACTTTCTCAGCCCATTCCTCAACCCTGTCTCCTCTTCTATGGGCAGATCGAAGATCCTTTCCCACCTGCCAGTTCAGCCCCGGAGGGCCCCACCCTACACGTGCCACCGGGGGAGGAGGAAAGAATCAGCTTAAACGGGGGGGGGGGGAGAAAAAAGCCACGGGGGGGGGGGGGGGGGGGGGACGTTGGGGGAGAAGGAAGCAGGTCAGCGCCTCAGGGAACCAAACTTCTCAGGAGCCCTGGGACTGGAGAGCCGGGGAGCGAGAGCGCGCGCAACGACCCAAAGCCTGCTGCTCCTCGGGAGCCTCCCACCCCGCCTCCCTGAGCAAGGAGGCGCGGAGACACCGCTGGGGGCGGAGGAGGCGGCGGGGAGGCGGGTAGGGGGAGGCAAACCCTGCCCACTCGGCTCGGAGCCCGGAACGGCCGCGGAAGTCGGACGCCTGCGCTCAGGGCGACGAGGGTACCGGGGACGGGGGGCTCGGCTCCCCACCTGACCCCTGTCACTTCCTCCCCCCGCCAGCAAAGTGAAGGCTCCTAGGACTTTCCAGGCAGAGGACGGACCGATCGGGAATCGCCAGCTGCTCCAGGTCAAGGTCTTGCCCCACCCGTGCCTCCCTCCCCATCATCACCAAGGCGCTCCCAACTCACTGGTGAGCGCGGCGGCCCGGGCGCTGGATGCGGGGACGGCCGCGATGGCCCCGCGCGCGGGACAGCCGGGGCTCTGGGGCCCGCTGCTGCCGGGGCTGCTGCTCGTGGCGGTGGCGCTGAGCCGGCCCGCCGCGCCCTGTCCCTTCCAGTGCTACTGCTTCGGCAGCCCCAGGCTGCTACTGCGCTGCGCGTCGGGCGCGGAGCTCCGGCAGCCGCCTCGGGACGTGCCGCCCGACGCGCGCAACCTCACCATCGTGGGCGCCAACCTGACAGTGCTGCGCGCGGCCGCCTTCGCGGGCGGGGACGCGGACGGTGACGGGGACGAGGAGGCGACCGACGGCGTGCGCTTGCCGCTCCTCACGGCGCTGCGCCTCACGCACAACAACATCGAGGTGGTGGAGGACGGCGCCTTCGACGGGCTGCCCAGCCTGGCGGCGCTAGACCTGAGCCACAATCCGCTGCGCGCCCTGGGCGGCGGCGCCTTCCGCGGGCTGCCCGCTCTGCGCTCGCTGCAGCTCAACCACGCGCTGCTGCGCGGCGGCCCCGCGATGCTGGACGCGCTGGACGCGGCGCTCGTCCCGCTGGCTGAGCTACGCCTGCTGGGCCTGGCGGGCAACGCTCTGAGCCGCCTGCCGCCCGCCGCGCTGCGCCTGCCGCACCTGGAGCAGCTGGACGCGCATCTCAACGAGCTGGGCGGCCTGAGCCCCGACGAGCTGCGCGCACTCGAGCGCGATGGCGGCCTGTCCAGGCCGCGCCTGCTGCTGGCCGACAACCCCCTGCGCTGCGGGTGCACCTCGCGCCCCCTGCTGGCTTGGCTGCGCAACGCCACCGAGCGGGTACCCGACGCGCGTCGCCTGCGCTGCGCCTCCCCGCTCGCGCTGCTGGACAGGCCTCTGCTGGACCTGGACGAGGCGCGGCTGAGCTGCGCGGATGGCGATCCTAATGAGCGCGGGGAAGAGGTGGACGTGGCCGGCCCGGAGCTGGAAGCTTCTTACGTCTTCTTCGGGCTGGTGCTGGCGCTCATAGGCCTCATCTTCCTCATGGTGCTCTACCTAAACCGCCGCGGCATCCAGCGCTGGATGCGCAACTTGCGCGAGGCCTGCAGGGACCAGATGGAGGGCTACCACTACCGATACGAACAGGACGCCGACCCGCGCCGTGCGCCCGCCCCGACCGCCCCTGCCGGCTCCAGAGCCACTTCCCCGGGCTCTGGGCTCTGAACTTCGCCTCCCACGGATGGGAAGCTGTCCCTGCCAGCTGATGACAGTACTGGGCCACCTAGCCTGCCCTTGCCTGGCCTGAGCCGTGGAGATGAGATACCCACTAATTTTGATCTCTGAGACACTGGATCGGAGCATCTCTCCCACTCTGAGGCTCCAAACTGTACTCCTTCTCCCAGGTCAAAAACCCAGAGACGACCCCACCTGGTTCCAAAAACAAACCCGCCCATCCAGCCTCTGATCCAGCCTTCTCGGACCATTGGAAGCCCTTCTCCCTGCCCTGGCTCACGCATAGACCCTGCCCTTCTCTTCGAAAGCTCTGACACCTTCGCCACCACTCTGCTTTGAGCCACACACCCTGGCTAGACTGCATTGGTCCCTGGTCCCAGGCCTGAGCCCCTCTCCCAGAGTTTGGGGGATCTCCCACCTGGTTCTGGTCTCATCCAAAGGTTTCTGTGGATTTTGAGCCCTTTGTCCCACCCCATAGCCCTGAACCCTCCATCCTGCATGGAGACTCATATTTGGGGACCCTGTGGTTTGGGCAGCCTCTTCTCGTCTGAAGAAGGGTTTCATACCCCAGCTCTGGCTCAAGCTCCTCCGTTCCTTGCCTCTGGCTTGGCGTTCAGCTCCTATTCTATCTCTCCCAATCCAGGGACAAGCCTTAGTGAGGAGTCCATCCTTGGCCCTTCCCTGAACTCTGATGTCCCAACACTCCGTGTTTGTTCCTAATCTCAAACTCAGCTCTCCTTCTTAGTCAGTTTCATTCCCCTACCACTCTTAGGCTCTCCATTCCTCTGACACCCATCGCTGGCACTTGAACCCGCCCCACCATTGACTGGTCAGGGTCCAGAGAGGAATCCACCCATTTGAGGATGCTATCCCCTGCTCTCCTAGAAGTTCTGCCATTCTACAGGACAAGGGCAAGCACCCCTTTGCAGACAGGCAGATTCCCATGGGGAAGAGACGGGTGCTGGATGTGCAGAGAGTAGGAGGGCCTCCAAACCAGGGTCACTGGTCCATCTGGGGCTGGGAGCTGCTACCACCAGTTCCTCCAGGCCCTCTCCCACCCATTGTGCTCCTCTCCTGGGGACTCCTCACCCACCTCCCCTATGCCTTCTGGAAGAGGATAGGGTCTGGCCTCCTGTCTCAGGCACAAGCCCTCCTGGTCAAAGTTGTGGCCTCAGTGCCCTGCCTTCTGCATGATCCCAAAGCACAATGGTGAGTGGGGAGGGACTGCCTCCCTGCCTCCCACCCTAGGTCAAGCAGAATGGCCGGCCTGTGCTGCCTCTGTACAGAAAGCCTCCCTCCTCCATGTATTGGCTTAAGGCTTGCCTTCCCACCCTCCCCTGAGAAATCTGGACCTCCCTTGGGCTGTTTTCTATAAAGTCTGCAATAATAGCTTATACTCTGCTCTTGTAAGTGGTGTTGTGTTGTTCCTTCTGACCTTTAGGAACCAGTGAGTGGGGGAGAGGACAGGAGGACATTTCAGGCAATGACCCTTGTGTGTTCTCTGGGAATGTGGAAAAAGAAATGGGCTCTGAATACACATAGCAAGATTGAACATAGACACATGGAGGGACTTCTGAGTTTTCTCCAAACCGGCTTTTTTAATGGTCTGAAATGGGGTTATCCACAACCAGGATGGGACCCTGTGCTTCCTTCCCCTTTGTTTGGAGAGGGGAGGTGAATGGGAGTGTAATTAGACTAACAAACCTAGTCTCAGATGAGCCTCTGTGGAAAATGCCAGCTATAAGAGCAGGGAAGGCAAACTGAGGGGCCATTGGCTACTCTAGTGTCAGGCTGTGCTCTCTTGGCTAGAGTTGAACCCTCACACTGAGTGTGCAAGAAGATGAGGCTCTGAAATGTATTTTAGAAGCTCGGAGCCTCATGCCTCAGGGCCAGGGGAAGCCTCGGCTGTCTTTAGTAGGACACAGAGCACAGCCTCCTTGCGTTCTCCCAAGGGAGGCTGCACTCCCCCAAGTCATGAACATCTCCATCTGTCAGTGACCTTCAGCACACACCCTGACCATCCCCCAGAACAAATAGTGATGTTCTAACACAGGTTAAAGGACCATCTCTCCAACAGATCACACCTTGGTACTAAAAGTGTACCCTCTGGTAATGTGGTCTAAGACTGCAGTAAATCCTGGTAAATGAACCGCTGTTAGCTGTGGGCTTGCCGTCAGCAAATGTGTAAGGCTTTTATGTAAGCGCTACTTCAGTCCTAAGAAGTTAGTTTTATTGAGCCACAAAGCAACAATAGATATAAAAAAATCAATTGAATGCCAGTAGATTAGTTGGTGTTTTACCTTTGTGTCTTTTACTGACTCCATTAAAAGTCATCTCTGGTCTGTTACCCAAGTTGCAGTCTGCCAGCCTAGGGCCCTGGCCTTCCTCTTCTGCAAATCTAGCCATTCCTTTAGCCTTTCCTGAGTGCAGCTCTGCCATTAGTCCTAAGGAGGCTAATGGCCCAGGGAAGGATTCATCTAATTGAGGTCTAGGGAAAAGAAATGCCAGGAAACTTTGAGAACCAGAGTAAGAGACTCTGACCCAGCCTAACGGGTCTTAGGAGAAGTGGCATTTGAGCTGAGTTGGGGTTTGTCTTGTTTTTGCAGTGCTGGGTGTCAAATCCAGGGCTTTGGACATGTTAAGTAAATGTTCTCCCAGATACACCCTCAGCCTTTAGGGTTTTTTTTTGTTTGGGGGGGTGTTTGTTTGTTTTCTGAGACGGGGTCTCACTACGTAGCCCAAACTGGCCTTGAACCTGAGCCCCTCCCGCCTCAGCCTTCCTAAGGCTAAGATTCCAGATGTGAGCCACCCTGACACCCTGATAGCATCCACTTACTCCAAAGCCTCCCCCAGAAGCTGCTGGAAGTAAGGGGTGGGGCAAAGATCCAGAGGATGGGGACCATAGGAATCAAGTGGGATGTTCCTTAAAGAGAAGCTAGGACATCAAGCAGGCAAGAGACAAGGCAAGCGTGGGTGTAACTCAGCATGTGGCAGACATGAACCTGCTGTGCACTTGGAGAGACATGGCAGACTTCCCAGGCTTCTATGACCCATAAACAGCGTGAAATTACCTTTCACAAACTTCTTCACAAGAAACCTCTCATGTCAGTGACCCCGAGCCTACCCATGCCCTCAGATCTGGTGTGGGAGACAGACAGGGTCTGGCTTGAGCCTGAGGACTGGATCTGAGTCTGAACTAAACACCTCTTGAGAGGTCACTTGGACCCTTGGTCAGAATATTGGATGCATTCCTACTGTGTGCTGGAGAATCCTGCCAATCTGGCTCCTGCTGATACTGTTCCCTGGACTCCCCCTACCCCACCTGCCTCTCTGGCTCTAGCTAGGTTCCTTCTGTTCAGGCCGAGCTGGACTTATAACCTCTGGAGGCACTGCCTGCTCCCACTAAAGTCCATCTCCATCTTCATTAAGCTGACCTGACAGACTCTTGGCCCTAATTTACAGGCATGGCCTTTCCCAGTCTGGGAGAACTGACCAGAGCAGTTAATATTGCTGTGGTAATACACTTGGCTGCCTTCTGAACCCCTCCTCCCTCTCTTCCCCCTACCTCGCTGCACCCACCCATTTCCTTTGGCATCCTGCAGGGCAGCTTTCCAGGAGTGGAAGATGGGGCTCAACTCATCCTTCCTTGAATGGGTGGGGAGCCAGAGGTTCAGATCGTACAGGAACCCATTCAGACCACACACAGGCCAGGATGCCCACCATGGCAGGCTGCCCCTGCCCTCCCCTGGGTCTGAGTACCTGACAGCCACCCCCTACTGCTTCGAGCAGCCAGGCTGAACTACAAAAGCCTAGAGAGTGGAAAAGAAAGACTGCAATGGAGGGGAGGGGGTGACCACCATGAGCAGCTCCAACAGGTGGCAGAAGTCCTGCTTTGGTTTCTTGGAGGCAGCAGCTCTGCTAGGGATCATATCCACCCTGAGGGAAGAAAGAGGCTGACTCTGGGTTCCTGAGCTCAGAGCCTTGGAGTTCAGTCCATCTTTCCTGAGTCTCTGCTGAGGGCTTGCTGAGCACAGGGCTCCTGTCCCAGGTCCAGATGTAGTCACACAGGGTCACTGTGATTATGGCCATAGAAGCACAGCATATCAGGGAGGTCCCTAACCGAGTTGGCCACCCAAACTGACTGACTGGCATGAAAAGGCACCAGTGACTATCAATAGTCATAAGGGAGAAATAAAATCATCATCATCATCATCATCATCATCATCATCATCACATGGGAAAGCCAGCCATGGTGGTGCATGCCTGTAACTCCAGCACTTGGGAGGCTCAGGCAGGTGAATTACTGCAAGTTTGAGGGCCACCTGAGCTACAGAATGAGACCTTATCTCGAAAAAAAAAAAAAAAAAAAAAAAAAAAAAAAACAACAACAACAAAAAAACAGGGACCGGAAAAACAGCTCAACAGTTAAGAGCACTGGCTGCTCTTGCAGAAGACAGGGTTCAATTCCCAGCACCCACATGGTGGCTAATAACTGTCCATAACTCCAGTTTCAGGAGATCTGACACCCTCTCTGGCTTCCAAAGGTACTACACAACATGGGTGTATTTATATACATGCAGACATAACACTCATACACATAAAATAAAAATAAATAAAAAAACAGGGGCTGGAAAATTGCTCAGTGGTTAAGAACACATGCTACTCTTGTAGAGGACCTGAGTTCAGACCCCAGCACCCACATCAGGCAATTCACAACTGTTGTAACTTCATCTCCAAGGGATCCAATGCCCTCTTCTGGTCTCCTCAGAAACCTGCACACACATACACATGCCCACACACAGACACACACTTATACATACTCATAAATAAAAATAAAATCTTTTAAAAAATGGGCTGGAGAGATGGCTCAGCAGTTAAGAATACTGGTTGTTCTTGCAGAAGACATGGGTTTGAATCCCAGCACCCACATGGCAGCTAACAACTGTCCATAACTCCAGTCCCAGGGGATCTGACAGTCTCTTCTGACCTCCTCGGGCATTGCAAGACACAGGTGCACTTACCTACATGCAGGCAATACATGTATACTCATAAAATAAAAATAATAAATAATTTTTTTAAGTTAGAAAAAAAAAAACGGCTAGAGAGATAGCAATTATGAGTGCTTGCTGCCCTTCGAGAGGACCTGAGGACCTGAATTGAGTTCCCAGCATCCACATCAGGAAGCTCACAAGTGCCTATAACTAGCTCTAAGGGAATCTGACACCCTCATATGGCTTCCACAGGAACCCACACACACATGGCATACACACACACACACACACACACACACACACACACGCACACTGACATAAAGAAACTTTAAAAACTTTAAAACAAAGGCAAACTAAGAAAGTAGCTCAGCTGGTAGACTGTTTTCTTAGCATGCACAAGCCCTGGCTTTGATCCCCCAGAACTATATGAATGGGACATAGTAGTACATGCCTGTAATTCCAGCACTTAGAAGGTAAAGGCAGGAGTATCTGGAGTTCAAGGTCATCCTTGGTGACATAACAAGTTCAACACCACCCTGGACTACATAAACCCTCTTTAAATAGAATTATATATATAATATATATTTTTTATATAATACATAAAATCACAGGGGACAAGATTAAATTAGGGCTGAGTAGGGGCTACAGGTCAGAGGCCTTAGACCCAGTGACTTTTGATAAGACCCCAGGAGGGGAGAAACATACTAAATTACTAGGCTGGACTAGCAGGTCTCCTAGCACTGGGTGACTAATGGCCTCCCTTCCTTATACTCCCTCCAGCCATGCCAGCTCCTCACATCCTAGTGATCCAGCCATCTGACTCCTTGCTTGGGACAGTACTCTCTTCCCAATACAGATAGCATTAGGCAGCTGAGAACTCTCTGCATCTCTGACCGAACCCTCTCCCAGTGCCATGCATCTGGACCTTCATCTGTATTGACCAAAACCCCTTGTCTGCAATGGGGGCGGGGGGTCCCTGACTTTTAAGTCCGTAGTTCCACAGAAAAGATCTTCAAAGCTCGCCTGGCCCCAGTCCCACCCCACAGACACACAAATTCAAGGAGAGTGTCATCACACAGGGCGCTCTGACCTCCTTTCCTCTACTTTGACTCCCACAACTTCCCACTTCATTAAACAGAGGTTGCAATGGCATTAAATGCCTGGGTGGCCAGCTCCTCCTTACCAAGCTCTACGAAGTGAAGAACCTCGTGGGAGCGCTGTGATCCCAGCTCTTGGCAGGTAGAGGCAGAAGGATCAGGAATCCAAGGCCAGCCTACCTATTCCATGGCTTCATGAGACCCTGACTCGACAAAACGTAAGTAAACAAAACTTTCAGAATATGTGACCACGCAGAACATAATTTAGACAGCATTTTTACCTCATCTTTTTAATATAATTTTGGCTTCCTGGTCCTTCTCT